CATTATTTTTGAAAACTTTACTTACAGACTTTTATCTCATTACAGCTATTTTAAATTACTTGTTTTTAACAATCATATTTAGATCACTCATGAATATTCATGACATTAAAACAGTCATCATTTAAAATTATTTTTCTTGTTGACAAATTTTGTAACAGAGATAACATGTGCTTATTTGACTAGTAAGTCCAGAATATTTACATTTTAACTCCTGGGGTGTTTACATTTCAAATACTTGCATCTTACATAGTAAAATCTACATCTTTAAGAGACAGAGAATGTATGGTTTCTCCTAGGAGTTTTGGGGTATATTTCTCTATTATCAGAAGTCTAGGGTAATAACTATTTAAGAATTTCCTTCATTTGTAGATTTTTCAATATCTACAAGCATTTTGTAATGAATAGGGGAGATTGGGGATTGGAAAAGTTAGGCAGACTTTGAATTACTTCTAGAGCTGCATACCCCACATTCCCCAAGAGGATGAGGCTTACTTTACACACCATAGCAGGAAGAAGGAAAGTTTCTTCTAACCCAGCAACAGCCCAACCAATGAAAACTCATCAAAACTGCCTCCGCGAGTATTCCCCTTTCCCTTATGAAAGTAAGCCCCTCTCCTCTGTTTTCTGGACTTGCCTATGGCTTGCCATATTTTGTATGTCCCAAATTGTAATTCCTCTGCTATTGCTAAATAAATTCATTTTGCTGGTAAAATACCTGGCTCTTTTGTTTTTTAATGTCAATTATTAGGGAGAAGATTTCCAGCTAGGATGGAAATCAAAAGATATGTATGTTCTGGAGATTCAGTGTTTAGTGCAGTATGCCTTTAAAAAGTCTGTGTAAGGTGTTCATCAAAGGTCTTCAAATGCTCTCCTTTTTTCTGAGTTCATAATTTAATCTTGGACCAATTTACCTTAGGTAGAAAAGCCTGTACTATTGTTCCTATTAGCCCCTGAACATTGGCCTCCATCTGAGTCACCTCCTGGACATTCCTTAGGAGGGCCTGGGAGAAATCCTGGTCAACTATATCTCTATGAACGTTTTTTTTTTTTTTTAAAGAGAGATCCATCTGGCTTGTCTGCTAATTACAGTATAATACAGAACACACATCAGCTGCCAGTCAAGGTGCCTGTGAGTGACATTGTGAATGGCCATTATTCTTTCTAATATCTCTAAATTTGGTAGGATATTCTGAAAGTGGAGGTGAAAAGTCTTTATAATTTAGTGGATCTGTTACTGTTCAGGGTCCATGAATTCTTTGCAGTGGGCAAAGTGGGTTCTAGATACAGCTGCAAAGGACATTGTGTAGGAAGGCCCAAAGCTGGCAGAGCCTGGTTATTAAACCCTGGAAAGTAGGAGTTGTAAGGAATAGAGCAAAATGAGCTCTACTACTTGTCCTGGTACTTCTGCTAAATTGAATTCCTGGCTTTTAGAATTTACATAAGTAATCTGTATATCCTGGGCCTGGATATCAGGCCAGAATGTTCTTGGTAAGTCTTGTAGGGAAAGGGAAGTTAAAACAGGCAGCTGGATGTTTAGGGATTTTCTGGGTAAGGCAGAAGTATTTTAGGAGCTAAGGGAATTTGCTGAGGAAATGGGGCTGGATTTTAAGAAGGCAAATTCAGTTGGATGGGGACTTAAATTTTTGTTCTAATTTATGCTCTTTCATCTTCTTAAGGGAGTCCCTAAGGCTAGTCATTATACTCCTTTGATCCACTTTTTAATTGGTCTTTCCATAGGTACCAACAAGACAATTAAGAAACAGAACCTTGAACATTTTTTTTTTCAAGTATATAAGTTTTTCCATCTCAAAGGACCCATTGTCTGGCCATTGATGAGTGGGATCTTACAATAATTTCAATACAGAAACTCAGACCAATAAGCCTTTTAAAAAAATTTTGGTATCATTAATGTACAATTACATGAGCAACATTATGGTTACTAGACTCCCCCCATTATCAAGTCCCCCCCACATACCCCATTATAGTCACAGTTCATCAGCATAGTAAGATGCTACAGTCACTACTTGTCTTCTCTGTGTTGCACTGCCTTCCCCATGCCCCACCCCCTACATTATGTGTGCTAATTGTAATACTCCTTTTTCCCGTTATCCCTCCCTTCCCACCCACCCTCCCCAGTCCCTTTCCCTTTGGTAACTGTTAGTCCATTCTTGGGTTCTGTGAGTCTGCTGCTGTTTTGTTCCTTCAGTTTTTGCTTTGTTTTTATACTCCACAGATGAGTGAAATAATTGGATACTTGTCTTCCTCTGCCTGTCTTATTTCACTGAGCATAATACCCTCTAGTTCCATCCATGTTGTTGCAAATGGTAGGATTTGTTTTCTTCTTATGGCTGAATAATATTCCATTGTGTACATGTACCACCTCTTCTTTATCCATTCATTACTGATGGACACTTAGGTTGCTTCCATTTCTTGGCTATTGTAAATAGTGCTGCAATAAACATAGGGGTGCATATGTCTTTTTCAAATTGGGCTGCTGCATTCTTAGGGTAAATTCCTAGGAGTGGAATTCCTGGGTCAAATGGTAAGTCTGTTTTGAGTTTTTTGAGGAACCTCCATACTGCTTTCCACAATGGTTGAACTAATTTACATTCCCACAGCAGTGCAGGAGGGTTCCCCTTTCTCCACATCCTTGGCAACATTTGTTGTTGTTTGTATTTTGGATGGTGGCATCCTAACTGGTGTGAGGTGATATCTCATTCTGGTTCAATAAGCCTTTTTATGGCTTAATCATGGACATGAGAGACATCACAAAAGAGTACAAAAGATCCAGCTTTCACAACATCCAGAAAGTTCATTCCACAGTTAGCCTAAGAAAGCAAAAATCTTAATTGTCACAAGTGGTATGATGGTGTAATGTACAGAAATACTGAATCACTGTGATATACACCTGAAACTAAGAGGATGTTGAACTTCAATTATACTTCAATAAAAAAAAGAACAGTATAGTGACAACAGTGTCTCTGGTTTCCCATGAGAATGTGAGGAGCCTCCAGTCACACACTTGCTAATCTCTGACACTTGGCTGGAACTACTGGAATGAGACTTTTCCAGCAGTAATAAGACACTGGAAGTTTAGACAACAAAGGCTCCTTATCAGCTGGGACACCTTATGACAAACTCCATGAGAGCTGGCACAGTTGGACAAAGAGAATGCTGTGTGTGACTTTTTGTCTCAGATTTCCAGCCTATTTGGCTGGCCATCAGAAGCTAGTCAGTACTTGCACCTTCTGGCTGGCAGAGACAGGAGAGAATATTCTCAGTGGTCACAATGCCAAGATCTGAGGACATAGAACAAGATGGAAGGAAAACTTCACCTGCTTTTTACATAGGGGATCCAAGGCAAAGACTATCTAAACAGACACCAGTCTGGTGAGAATTATGAACTCATCAGTCTGTGGGGCCAGTTTGAACAAGCTTATAGGACATATGCTTGAATTTTACCCTATGGTTTTCTTCCTTCTGACAAATGACAGAAAAGACAGAGATGAAAGAAAACACTGACCATTTCTAGGAGGAAAGAGATCAATAGAAAATAAGAGTACTTCTAACAAATCATTACCAGAGTTGCTATACCCAAGGAACTAGTTCCCACAAATATTTTCTCCTGCTTAAATTTAGAAAAAGAAAATACCTCTCACCACTCACGTCCCCCAGTCCCTGGAGGCAGAGATCCAGGAGACTGAAGAAAGAATTCTTACCTTCTGCCTACTCTTGTCAGAAATCTTGGGGTCCTTCAGTTGTAGCAGCCCCACAGTGAGCAATGTCCAGCCAGGGGAGGGCCCCACACTGGGATCCAAAACTGTACTAGTGGAAAACTTTTCCTTTCTAGGTTCTTTGCCTGGCTTAATAGACATAAGACAGATTAACAGGAAAAAACAAACTTAATTTCATACACACAGGGGCCCCATAAAAACATGAGACAAAAAAATGACCAAAACAGGGCAGCTTTTGTACCTTTTAGAGAGAGAAAAACAATAAACTTGTGAATAATTGACAAGACAAAGACGTTTGAGTTTGGGGTAGTAAATTAGTGAACTAACAAAGTTTATTTATACAGCATTCTCAGCCGTAAATCCCTTATTTCTGGTGCTAGAGTTGCCTTCAACCCTCCTGGTACAGGGAGGGTATCAATCACACGGCAGACTTATTTCCTGTTTTCAGGGGAACAAAGAAGGGTCAAGGTGGTCTTGTATCAGCTGTTTTCTTAAGCTACTTTAATTCAAAATAATATGATAAAGTGGCATATTTTGATGTGACATACTCTACTCTCCTTCACCTGGTTCCCACTGATGCCCCAACTTGCAGCCTGACCCACTTCCCCACAGCAGTAGTTTAAGCATATTCTTCTCTCTCAGGTCTTTCTCAACACTGTCCTGTCCCCTTTCTGGGTTTACATAGACCCCGGGTTTGCACGCTGTTTACCTCCCTGAACGTTAGGTTCTGCAACTCCAGTCTCCTCCACCTCAGCTCTCTCCCATTAGTTCATTGATCCCCTCTGACCCACCCTTCCCTTTAGACCAGGAGCACGTGTGTCTGTGTGCATGTTTGAAAGCCATCCCAGCCCCTGGGTCTGTGGGTGGGCAATATTAAGTCTAGAAGGGATCCATTGCTCCCCCTTCCTCTCTGGCCTCATTGTGGCACCCCGTGCATGCAGCTTGCCTATTCTCCCTGCAGAGGAGCTCTGCTGAAGATGGAGGGTCCCAGCAGGCTTTGCGGTGTACTTGACTCAGCGTTTCCTGGAGGCACGGCACCATTTTCCAGTGGCGGTGGTGTGGTAAGGGAAGCTGCTTTTTCTGTTTGTGAGGAAAATGAGGTTGTCAGTGAGGAGAGGGGCTACAGAGGAGGCCAAAACTGAGCAAGGACTGAAGTAGGACTGAGCAGGGAGGTGAGGGGCAGAACTGTTGGCGGCTGCAGCCTTTACCAGTGGCAGTAGGGGCGGCATTGCCTGTGAAGTGGTTGGTTGACTAGGCATGGCGACCATGTTGGCTGACATTAATGACCCTGTTAGCGGGTTCCGTCACGCTGACTTGATCAGATTTATCAACAATGAAGTCCTCGTGAATAGGGGCGGTCCAGATTTCTACGTGACCTTTCGCTCGCGGTCCTGGAATGAGGTGGAGGACTAGCTTCTGGCCATCATAAATGACCCACAGGTGTCCTATGCCATGAAGAGGACCCATGCCTGGAGCGTGCTGGCCTTAAGTATACGTGTGTGTGTGTGAAGCAGCACAAGCAACATGCACACCAAGTCCAGCAGCTGCAAGGGCAGGTAGAAGAGCACGAGGAGGCCACCTGGGCCCTGGTGTCCGAGTTGCAGTGGTTACGCAAGGAGCATCATCAGACTGCTGTGCAGCTACGATGTGTGTGGTCCACCCTGCAGCAGGTAATGGATGTGCGTGAAGTGTTACGCAGGAGACTGTGTGGGCCCAGGTCAATATATTGCCTCAGGAGGTTGTGCCTGTGGGAGGAGCCGAACAGCTGGGAGCCACAGCATGGCCCATGGTTGTGCAGGAGCAGGGCAAGGTGGTTGCTATGGGGGCACAGGGCATGCAGCATTCGGGGGCACAGGGCATGCAGCATTTCAAGGCCCAGATGGCAGCCTCAGGAGCTGTGATTTATATGCCAGGAGCCCCAGACCCCTGGGCCTAGGCCATGCAAACCTCTCTGCCAATGCTTGTGCCGTATACATTCCCAGTCCATGCATCATTCCCAATGGGAGTGTCATACTCGACACCTCTACTACCCTCAATAGTCACGGAAGTAGAAACAGCAACTGAAACCGCAGCCATAGCCACAGCTGCAACCACAACTGCAGCCACAACTACAACTGTAACCACAGCCGCCACCGTAACCAGTGCTGCAGCGTTAACCACAACCGCAACCACAGCAGTTGTACCTCAGATGCTCTCTTTAGGTATCTGTGCAGTGGGGACCCAGGAGGAGAAGGCCCCCCCACTGTGTGAGCAGAGCTACTGTGGCCAGGAGCAATATCCTGATACCCTCCAGGGGGCACATGCCCTGGGGAACAACAGAAGCCACAGTCAAGAGGAAGGTCCTGTGTGGTCCCCAATGGGTTACTTGCCCCGAGGACATAAAAAGCCACAACCAGAAAGATCTAGAGAGGCCCCAAGTGGTAGTCCCTCTGGAAGAAAGTTCTGGCCAGAGGAATGTCTAGCAATGCCCATGGAGAAGTTACCCCTGGGTAACAGTGAGAGCCACAGCCAAGAAAGTCCAGAGAGGCCCCAGGAAATCATTCTCATGCCAGGCAGCAAGACCCTTGTTGGGAGAAAAAAAACAGAGAATAAGCAGCCTCAGAGGCAAAAGGCCAAGCAACTAAAAGGGAAAAAAGCCTCAGATTCCCAGTACCAGGAGAACTTGGTCCCAGGCAGCAGTCCAGGGAACTGGGACTGCTTATGGTGTAAAGCAATTAATTTCTCATGGCGTAAATCCTGCTATAAATGCAAGAAAGTCTGTATGGTAGTTGGAAGAAGTAGAGGCCTAGACCCTGGAGAAACTCACTAATTTCTAAAAGGTAAGGAAGAATGGAAACATTCCCAAGAAAACTAATTTCCTAAGACCTCTTCTAATCAAAAAGTAACTCACTTCACACAAAAATTTGAAAATCAAAATTATCAAAGAGAAAATTAATCCCTTATTCCATTACCTAACTTAACCACTTATTATTCTGGGTACAAATATATACATATTTATATTCTTATTTTATACACTTATTTTAACAAAGATAGACTACTTTTGAGTATCATACTTTCTAAATAAAGGATTTCTCCTTATTGTATTTAAGTTTGCAGGTGGTGGATTCCAGATGGCTGATGCTGACTGGTTGACACCCTGGAGGAGCTGAAGTCATGAAGACTTTCTTTTTTTTTTGTTCACTTGTTTGTTTTCTTATTAACCTCCTTTTCCTGCAAATGCCATGTCCTTGGCTGGGAGCAGCCATGCATATTTAGAGTTGTAAACTATATTGAATTTTAGGGCACTGCTTTTCCTTGACACTGCTATTGTTCCTACTGCAGTGTTCATATTTGCTTCCTGTTTTTAAGTTTTATAGCTGAGGGCCTGGTTTTCTATCTCTCAGCCCCACAGAACTTGTTTGTTGCCTAAGAACCTGAACCTGTCCCATTAGACCTCCCAAGAGCTTAAAAGAAATCACCCTTGATTCATACTGACCCGCACCTCAGTGAGACCCGCACTGGCTGAGCCGAGGAGAGAGAGAGAGAAGTTAGGGTGAAAGAGCTGCTTTGGCAATCACTAGGGGGGAAGGAGGGTAGAACGATTTGGTTAGAATTTAATTTCTCTGTTGGGACAGGGAATTAATTTGGAAGAACTGGGGGAGATATGGTGTTAAATTCTATAGATGAAGAGCAAATACGACAAATTTAATTAATTGTGTTGGGAGCTACACTTCCATGTTAACATCTGGTGCACACATCATAACCTGCTTTGGTGAGTTTGGTTAGGTAACAGGAAAGAGCCTAATTTAGGATACAAATTATATCAGGAGGCCTTTGCCTTGCATGTAGTGCGGTCTTTGGGGAAACCCAACTGAAATAACATCCAGTTATTTTTGCTGTTGTTGGGGGTTACATCAAAAGGACTTGAGTGACCAAACTGCTTATCTAGTTGGTCCGGATAAGACAAGTGAGCAGTAGCCAAGTTTGAGAAAGTGGCACATACGAGTACAGGCAGGACTTTTGTGATACTCTGCTGACTTCCTCCTTTGAGAGGGACAGTGATTGTCCTGGTTGCCTGAAAGACCACTGGGTGACTGTTTAAAAGGGCAGTGTTTCGGGGAGTGAGCCCTCAGCCTTGGGCCACCACCAGTTCAAGCCCCTTTCCTGCCACAGAGGCTGGAGAACAAAATGGATTCCAGTGACAGACAATGCTCTGCAGATGGTGCTTCTCTCCGGTGGACCAACTGGACTGGAACAGGTCCCCTTGTGAATGCCCCTGGGCCCTTCTCATCCCCTGGGTGTATTCTCTGAGCTCTCCACTCCTCTGAGGCAGGGGGAGTGGGGGGATGGAGTGAGATGGTCTCCATTCTGAAGAAAAACAGTCCTTGAGTGCCCCCCTGAGAGATCCCAGCTCACCAAGCTCAACGTTTGTCGGCTTTTCTGGCCATAACCATTAATAAAGAGTGTGTGCTCACCTGCTGTGTCTTCTGCGTGATGAGTATCTTGGGGCAGATTGGTTAGAGGTGGCAGCTTAAATCTGCTTCTTCTCTCCATCCCACTGAGGAGAAGGAATATTGAATCTCATTACTACAGGGCCCTCCCTCTTCCTGTGAGTTATACAAGAATGGCAGGGGTGAGGGGCTTCACCCTGTGGGGATTTCAGTCCACTGTGATCGTCCCTGGTAGTCTTACTGCTCCATGTCCACATAGCCCCTTGAAGGTGGGTTTCTCTGTTTCTCCAAGACCAGTGGGGGTTGAATGTGTCTGTCAGTGTTGGAGGTCCTGATGCCTAGTGTCCAGCCCCCCTTCATGCACAGTGTAGCCATAATCCTCTGGAGCCTTGCTTTCTCCCTAGCCTTTCTTCTTCCTTCCACTCTGGCAGGAAGCAAATAGGGCTTAGGTATCATAAGCAGTATTCTCCTTCATTCCTCTGTTCTCCAAGTCCTTGTCTCCCGTTTGGCATAATTCACCCAATCGTATGGTATTTTTGTGGATCCTAATGACTTGCACATTTAGGAAGATGGTCATATGTGGATATTTTTCTTGCTGGGTCTAAATTCAATGCTGGTGCAACAGAGGAGTACAAATCGTGATAGAAAGCGTAAAGATGCCTGATACTGCTGCCTTGCAGGCACTTGAGGTAGTGGTGATGGAGAAGGGATATGGGTATTTCTCTAAGCAGGAGAGTACAGGGGAGGTGCGGAGAGGCCTTTTAGATCCTGTGGGAGCTGTAGAGCAAGACAGGAAAAATTCTGTGTAGAAAGTAGAAGATCATAGCAATATTCTCTACACTACCTCCTTGCCCATTCCTTCATATCTGCTACTGGACTGTATGCATGACCAGTAGCTTCATACTCCCATTGCCATTTCCACAATCAGTATACCACCTATCATTTAACCTCCTACTCCCACTATCAAAAGCATAATCAGAAAAACAGTTTGATTAAATGCTCAAATAAGAGTACTTCCTGTGGGAGCATCTGTGGCTAACATATCCACAGGTGCAGGGTATGGAGAAAGTTCCTGTGGTAGGTAAGAGGAGGCAGCAGCCTCGGTGGCACAAAGGACAGGAACAGAGGGCTCAGCATTCCTCAACATCCCTTAGGGATGAGAGAATTGTACCTGGTAAAGACCAAGGGACTGGAATGGTGAAAGCAGTAAAAAACACACAAAATACTCAAATTGGTTATTTTGGGGATAAAAGCATGCCTCAAACGAAGGAGATTTCTGATCCTGGATTCAGAAGCTTTGTTTTCTGATGGGTCCAGTCCTCTTTGACTTCAAAAATGAAAGAGGAACCAAGGAGATCTGAAGCAAAATAAATCAATTTTCTGAGTACATCTCTGATAACAAATGCAGCTTAATATCACCTTAGAAAAATTAGAAAACACAGAAAAAGAAAAAAGATTTAACCATAATCCCACCACAAGGGAGAGGTACCACTGTTTATATTTTTATGTATTTAATTCCATACATGTACATACACAGAGATAAGAATAAAATTTTTAAAAACATTCTTTACATGGAAGGTATATATTTTACAGTCTTATTTTTTTATTGTGGTAGAAAAACGAGATCTACCCTCCATAAATTTTAACTATAAAATTTAACTACATTGTTAATAAACACAATGTTGTAGAGTAGATCTCTAGAATTTCTTCATCTTTCATAACTGAAACTTTATACCTATAGCGTTACTTTAAATTAATATATTAATTTTGTTTTCTTTTACACCTTAGTGCCCTAGGTGCTGGTGGGCTCTTGTCTTAGACTCATCTGTAAGGAGTCTGGCTCACACCACCTACTGAGCAAACTGCAATCCTTGTCAATGCCACCTCTCCTCCCCCCATCCAGAGTCACAGTGCAGCTTCGCCTCTTCCCAGAGACCCGTAGCCAGGTGTCAGGGACCAGGCTTTGGCCCAGAGGATGTGCACGGAGCAGCTGAGACCAGAATGGGAGTGAATTGCTCAAGTACAGAAAGTGCATTCCAGGTCTTCCAGGAGACAGACGGACCCAGAGCAGCAATTCGGCCTTCAGTGTGGAGCCCTGAGGCCCCAATCTAATATTTGCCAAGGTCTAAGGCTGAAGCAACCCAATCACACCGTTCCAATGCATATCTTTGGGGTCAGTTGTTCCTTCTTGTAGTAGCAACCTGTCTAGAAGTCATTCCAAGACACCATGGCTGCTTGTACGTCCAGCCTCTCCTCAGGACACTGATTTCTCCTTCTGAACCAGCCCAACTGCCAGCCTGCTGTGACGGGAGAGCTGGGCCCTTTGCCCAGGAGCTTCCATTAGGAAATGATCTCCACATCTGAGCACCACGTGTTAAGCCTATGGGCCAGGCCAGCTGGGGCCTGGTTCCGATGGGTGGAGTGTGGGTTTTTCCCGGAAGGCACAGAGGGTGCAGTTGGAGCCCGCAGGG